ATGGAGTGATTGCCGAAAGGCGTAACAACTAGCATTTTGGATGACTCTTTTATAGATGATCGGAATCCACTGCTTTCTGTGGAACCGAGTAGTTCGCAGCAAATGGCCAATGGGTGAGGTACTCGAAGTGCAACTATCGGTCACCGCTTAGTAGCATTCATACGAAGTGAGGGGAATTTGCGAAGGATAGTGAGTGGCTGAACCGAGATAGGCTATGCACAAACAAGGTGACCGTGGTAAAAACGATTTTTTGCTGGATTCGCCTTTCTGCTACGCCAGAATCGCAATCACAATCGCGCATTAGCAGAAACTGTTCTATTTATTTAAACGGAACAACCACTCATGTGCTCCAGTGAACCGCAAAAAAACAGAAGTCCGACTACATATTCTGAGAGCCGTGGTACAAACAGATGGACGGATGGATGAGTACAACCTCGTACTGAAACAGACGACAGAGGGGTAACGCCGTGTAGACTGAGAGCTCTACCTACACCCAGGACTCAATCATCACAAATTCTGTGCATATAAAGATTATAGATAAGAATGTCAGGTGAACAGCTGTACACCGTGTGTGCATTGATTGGTTCCAGGACACATAAAGCACACACATTTTAAAGGGGGAGAGAATGGGAACTTACTGATGTGCGGCGACATTATGAACTTGTATCTGGTGCACAAACAAGCAAGCAGTTCCTCTCTCTCTATTCGCTCTATGCATGTGCTTCTCTGCGTACCTTAATACACAGACAGGTATATTTCAAAGACAGCCATTTCTACTTACCACAATTAATGGTTGCACTGTAGAGTAATCTGAACGATTATCAGCTATTTTTGTCTATATTATTGCTATATATATACATATATATATACATATATATATATATATGATATCATTATAGAACAAACTGCCCAAACCTAGTTACATTGAAAACTTACCCAAGGAGATGAATAGCCGTAGTGGTAAGCCGCAACACAACCACAGACTGATTGATTGCAAAGTTCCATGGGATTATTAGCCGCTTGAAGCTGCTGATGATATGGTACATAATTTGGATTGTAACTGTTTTCCACGAATCTGGACCAACAACAGTACTCATGTGGCCACAGTACGGAGTTCCGAACATTGTAGTTACGCCATGGATCGTACGGTGAGGCCCGATAGTGAGGTAGATCTCCCGTTTCGGGAGTGGAACAGTAGGATCTTTGGCTGAAAGGATGATGACCAGTGACTAAATAAGTGGGTGATGAGATGGGCTGTTGATAAGGTATCTCAGTTGGAGAGTGCACTTCATACGGTGGAAGAGTGTCCGCTGCCAGGACACCGAAAGTATTTGTGGCTGGATCCCAGCTGACAGATGGATGCACCTGTGTCGAAGCTGCCTGGGGGATAGCATCTCTTCCGCCTTCTTGATCAGCAAACAAAGCCTCTTGGAAAGAATTGAATGATGGTGAGTTTGAGAAATGTTGTACATTTGCCGAGACATGACCTAAAATTAAAACACAATAATAGTGATAAAACAGAAAACAGTTCATACAAACGGGCGTTGTAAATATTCATTTCAACTAACAACCGTAGCACATATACGTCGCACCAATGAAGACGCGCAACAGACGGTTTGGCAAGGCAGGAAACAGGAATAACTAAGCAATAGCATTAATGTATATTGGAATAGGCGTAGGTGTACATGTTTCGCAGGTATCATGAGAAAAAAATTGGCCTAACCCCATTTCTCCAAATCACATATCAATCACAAATTGTCCTTAGATGATTCGCACGAATTCTGTGCATATTTTCACTGTCAACCAAATAGCTATAGCTCTGCCATGGGGTTCTTAAAATTCGACAACAACAACAACAACAAGTTATTAGGCAATCATTATTACACCAGTTTTTAACATAACATCAACGCATTCTGAAGCACCGAGATGAAAAATTCCCGTTTTATTACACACATTGTGTGATGAACGGCATCCGGGGTGTAACCATTAGTCGCGAAGACCTGCTGTTCCGTGATGGAGACTGGCAATCTGAGCACCGGAACATGGAGTGCCGAGCCACATAAGTTCTATTAGGTTGGGTGTAGTATTCAAACGACTGACAGCACAGCTGTCTACCACCAAAGTTGGGTAGGAGTGGCGGGGTTCAAACTTCAGACCATTGGATCCAAACCAAGCCGGTGGCCATCCGTGAATGTGTTCCGCATATGCAAACGCATTATTCGCCCATCGAGTTCGTTCAGATTAGAGCCCCGGTCTAACGCACAACCATACGGGTTAATTCCGATCATCAAGAGAATTGGAATCACGGAGGATATATTGGACTATTGCTAGTACGGTACCATTAGCGGTCAGTGGGTTGACTGGAAATCTCAACCAGATGTCAATTACCCAGAGCACGGATCGTGATACCGAGTGCGACAACTGCACGGCCCTCTGGATCTTCCATTAGTATCCAACGCTGTCATTTTTTCAGGGTTAATACACATTTATCCACAATCGAACTACTCTGGCCTTGAATAATTCATTAAGGGAAACTATATTCTCTAGCTACTCGGATTATCCGTGGCACCTACAAATAAGTCAAGAACGATTTGCAAAGGCCCATATTTGAACAGACAGATGATATAAGAAGGGTAAATACAGTACGCATGCATTTCTTAACGTGAGAATTCAACGAAACACAAACCTTCAGTGAATCCTGAATCGGTCAAAGTCATTTGGTCAGTCCATTGCCTAGGTTGTATTATACAAGTAGCCTGGGGTAAAGCACCGGCCGAATCTACCAAACGACCAGTCACTGACCCACTGGCAACCGAGACGGCCGCTGGACGTGATCTCTGTAGGCGTTGATCACCATGCGATAGGTGATCCGGCCCGGATTCGATCGCCTGCCGTGATCCCAATGCGGGATCGGCGGTTTCCTCTGCGACTTGGCGGGAACCTGAATTCATAAGCAATGGATGGTCAGGGCCAAATTTGTTATCCAGATAGCGTTTAAAATGCTGAAAACCTAGGGGAAGTCGTTTGTGCATGATATCCGCACTCGAGTGATCCGAATCCACTGAGCCAGCGGTGGAAGTGGTATTCGTTTGATCCTCAGAAACCGGGATGGCTGACCGAACTGCACTGCTGTTACGACTGCTCGTTCGGGAAGTTGTGGCTGATAGACGGGGCGATGCTCCGCTTGTCATAGTGATGTTGTCACAATCCTTGTGAGCAGATCGTACGGGGCGTGCCAGTCGGTCGCCAACGACTCGCGACTCCACCAATCTTTTTTGTTCTTCACCCCGTACGATAATTAGATCCTGAACAGCCTTTAGCAGGTAATGCAACTTGATAGGGGGAAACACAGTTGTGTTGTTTGCATATTAGGTGAAATACTTTTAACATAAATAGATCGATCGTAAATGAAAAAAAAATACAACTGAAAACAAACAGAGCAGACACTAAATTTCGGTTCATTTTAGCTACATTCTGACTGCCCTGGGGGCATTCACGTAAATTGCCTATGAAAATGCATACGACAACTGTTAGTGGTAAAATCAATGATCGAAGAGGCCAGAAGAATTGATCTAACCAAATCATATCAATCTTTTTCACGCTGCACAAAAAATTTTATTGTAGCTCTGTTGGGACAGTTATTAGCCGCAAGGTTTAGTGCTTCAGTTTTTATCACTTTTTCAGTTACCCGTTTGGTGATATAATGGAATACTAATCTCAGAGCAGGATCAAGAAAAATAAACAAATTATACGGAACCTAGATGTGCTCTGGTAGGGAGTATAGATGCCAGAGCACCAAGGTGTGTGAGATTCAGTCACATCGATCAACGCTTCTGAAGAGCAACTAGACTGGCCACAAGATCACTAACCCGGAAGTCTCATGGGATGAAGCTGCTCCCCCACCACCACCACCACACACACGCCGCTTCTGGCCTTCGTTCAGCTATACCTTGCTTCGTTCACCATTGCATGCCAAGGAATTGTGTCAGGTTTCTATTATGAGACATCTTAATGTGATGAACGGTAGATGGGCTGGACCCCATAGTCCGTGACGGAAACCGGCAAACTAGACCCCGAGTGATGAACCACTTAAGGCCCCGCTAGGTCAGGCGTGGTGTTGAACCGAACGGCAGCAAAACAGCAAGCGCAGCATACGCCCCATCCACTGTAACATACGAAGGTAAAACAAATTATCAAGTGTGCACCCGCAATTACAAAACACCTTGCGAGAAATCATAGTAATCCTCACACTGGTATATTAACAGATTTAAAACACCCTGGTT